GATGCGGGGCTCGATCCCAGGACCCTGGAACCATGACCTGAGCCGAGGGCAGAGGCTTAACCGACTGAGCCACTGAGGCGCCCCAAGTTCTTCCTCATTCTTGACCTTTTTCCTTCTTAATTTGTAGGAACTCTGTTTTATATTATAAAGATTAACCATTCATCTGGCATACAGATGATAAGTATTTATTTTTAATCTGTCATTTGTATTTTGACTTTGTGGATATTTTAAAATAACATGGTTGAAGATTTACATGGTCCTGTATGGCTCTATGTCTCTCTTTTTCTACATAGCTTTTGGGTTTCTGGTCTTAAGACATTTTTCCGGGTGCCTGGATTATGCTTGTCTCTTCCTCAGGCAGCTTTGTCAAATCTTAACATCCCTACTGCTGCTTCAGATCTTTTCACTATAAAATTTTCATTATAAAATTATTAAAAATAGGGGCACCTGTCTGGCTCCATTGGTGGAGCAGGCGACTCTTGATCTCAATCAGGGTCGTCAGTTCGAGCCCCACCTTGGGCGTAGGGAATCCTTTAAAAAATTATTGAAAACAGGGCGCCTGGGTGGCTCAGTGGTTTAAGCGACTGCCTTCAGCTCAGGTCATGATCCTGGAGTCCCGGGATCGAGTCCCGCATCGGGCTCCCTGCTCGGCGGGGAGTCTGCTTCTCCCTCTGACCCTCTCCCCTCTCATGCTCTCTCTCACTCTCTCAAATAAATAAAATCTCTTAAAAATTATTTAAAACAGTAATTATAAAAATAGTTAAAATTTACATTTAGAAATAAAACCATTCAGCTGATATTGTCAACATGACAGTTTACCAAACTGTGGTTAGCTGGTGCTCTCTGTGATCATGTTGAATTGAGGAGAGAAAATGCCAAAACTGTGTGTAAGAAGTTGCATTGTAGGGGCACCTGGGTGGCTCAGTGGGTTAAGCGTCTGCCTTCAGCTCAGGTCATGATCCCAGGGTCTTGGGATCAAGCCCCACGTTGGGCTCCCTGCTCCGCGGGGAGCCTGCTTCTCCCTCTGACCCTCCCCCCCGTCATGTGCTCTCTC